GGTCGAGGTTGGGGTGGCCAGGAATGGCCACTGCACTCCAGTCTGGGCAACAGAGTGAGACTCCAACTCAAAAAAAAAAAAATTGCTGAACAATTAGATGCTACTAGTAGGATGACATGAGAAAATCGTATGGCCTTAGACATGATGCTGGCAGCAAAAGGCGGGGTATATGTCATGCTAGGAGAACAATTTTGTACTTCCCCCAAACAGATCAGGAAAAAGATTGACCTTTTTTCAGGGTGGACTGGCCCTTTGAGGGGTCACTAGACAAAGAACTAGTTAGCAAAGTGTTTAGAGTTGTTGTGGGGGACCCAGGCCACCCTGACCAATTCCATTTCATTGACTGTTGACAAGATATATTCCTGTTTTCAATTAAGTGAAGGCTGCTGTGAAATCACATAGCAACAATGACATTATTAGGTTTGTTTTGTTTTGACCTATTGTGGGAAGGGCCTTCCCAGAACAGAGAAAGTAGCATGGCAGAGTCAATGTTGGGATCTTGTGTGTTAGGGCCTGTCTGTTCATCCTTCTTCCTGCTCCCATTTGCCAGAGGCAAACATATAGGAATTCAAGTATACAAGGACTGGAAAGCCCAAAGGAAATGGCATGCCTTACTAAATTGGCAACTGGAAAAATGATGAGTGGCCCCTTGAGTGCATTATCCAATACTGTGGCCTGGCCACCTGGGGCAGAGGATGGGTCCTGGGGCTATCAGACTCCCATTTACATGCTGAACTGCATAATTCAATTACCGAAAGTTGTTGAAATTATAACTAGTAAAACTGCAAAGGCCCTTAACATACTAGCCAAACAGCAAACCAAACAGCTAGCGTAATGCTATCTATCAAAACTGCTTAGCCCTAGATTACTTGCTCACTTCTGAAAAACAGAGTTTGTAGAAAGTTTAATTTAAGTAACTGCTGCTTACAAATAGATGATGAGGAAAAGATTGTAAAAAAACACTGACTGAATGAAAAAAATTGCTCATGTCCCAGTCCAGACCTGGAAAGGCTAGAATTCCAGGGAAATAATTTGGGGGATGGTTCTCAACTTTTGGGAAATTCAAAACCCTCATAGGCATTATACTTATAATTTTGGGAATTTGTCTAATCCTGCCCTGCCTGGCGCCCCTGGTTTTAAGGTCTGCCTCCAGCCTCATTGAGGCCATGGCCGAAAGGAAAATGGCAGCACATGTAATGACGTTATGAAAGTACCAACACCTTAATCAAGGTGATGCTCTTTGATCCAAGAAGGGCCCTGAGCATCAAAGGGGGGAATGTGGTAGGGGCCTTTGCAGAACAAAAAGAAAGTAAAGTGGCGGAGTCAATGTCTAAGTGCACATGCATAATCCAGTTACAACCCTGTGCTATAAAATACCAATCAAAATACAGGTTGCCATATAAGGGAGACAAAGGAACTAGAATGTCATATAAGGCAACACTCCACTGCATTTGGGGCCCAGCCTTTGGATGTGAATTCACTGGACCAGTACTGGTACAAATAAATGCTACCTCCTGGCAAAGAAGCCTCAATATCCCTATCTCTCTGTAAAGGCTCCTACTACACTATGATTATAAGTAACAACTGAGGTTCCTGATTTTAACCCCTTGGCAGCAAGATCTAAGTTCCCTCATTCACACACTAACACCTAAGTGTCAAGGGGTTAAATAACCAGCACAAGATACTGCACTTCTTATTGTAGCATTTGGCAGAGCTGAAAGAAAAGGCAGTTATGCTAAATGTTGAAGGGATTGTGGGCAACACAAAGAAGACATCCAGAGAAGATAAAATGTCACATGAAGTCTTCATAGTCTTACATATCCTCCATCATTACCACCATAATCATCTTTCATGGTGGCTTTTTTTGTTGTTGTTGAGTTAGAGTCTCACTCTGTCACCCAGGCTGTAGTGCAGGGGCATGCTCACAGCCACTGCAGCTCGACCTGCTGGGCTCAGGTGATCCTTCTACCTCAACCTTCCAAGTAGCTGGAACTACAGGTCCAGTTAATTTTTGATTTATTGTAGAGACAAGGTCTTGCCAGGTTGACCAGGCTGTTCTTGAACCACTGGGCTCAGGTAATCCTCTCACCTCCATCTTAAAGTACAGGGATGACAGGTGCGAGCCACTGCACCCACCTTATGGTGGCTTTTAATCCCCCTCCAGGAGCCATGGCTTTCTTCTTCTTTTTGGCTTTGCTTTGTTTTTCTTGCTTCTCTTTTTCACTGCAAAGCACAGTCAGTGAATTGGTTGTCTTTTTGAAGTCATCAATCTCCAATGAAATACATACATTATGAACTAAGACTTCCAAAACACTGGCATAATATAGTAACTTTTCATATTGTATAATTTTATATTTTAGCAACTTTCCTTTTTTTTTTTTTTTTTTTGAGTCAGAGTCTCACTCTTTTGCCCAGGCTGGAGTGCAATGGGCTCAGATAATCATTCTACCTCAGCCTTCCAAGTAGCTGAAACTACAGGCATGCACCATCACACCCAGATAATTTTTTGATTTATTGTAGAGGCGAAGTCTTGCCCAGTTGTCCGGGCTGGTCTCAAACCTGTGGGCTCAGGCAATCCTCTCGCCTCCACCTCCCAAAGTGCTGGGATGATAGGCATGAGTAACTATCTAAGCTCCGTGAACTCATCTCTTGAAGATAGGTTCATACCACCTATTCCACAGACCATATTATTCAAGTATTTGAAGTGTTTTACAGTGTTTTGTGAAATGTTTAAAGTGTTTGCCATGTCTTGTTTAAAACCTAAGTTTGAGGCTGGGCTTGGTGGCTCAGCCTATAATCCCACACAGGCCGAGAACCCCTGTGTGACTGATGCAATAATTTTAAAATTTTGCTCATAAGCAACCCTCACAGCCCTGTACCCCACCCAGTGCTCTAATGGCTTCCCCCTTATCTGAGTGTACCATGTGCCAAACCCCCAGACATATGTTTATCTCTGTAATGCCTCAGTTTCCCACCTGCTTTTGCCTATAAAAGCATCCCGCTAATTTCATTTGGGGTTGAAAGTCTTGGAGGCATGAAGCCCCTCTCAACCGCTGGCTATTAAAGGACTCATTCATCTGAACTTTATTGTGCTGGTTATCTGATTTCTCACGACTCAGCTACAATATTAACAACAAAAGTTTTATTTGCTAATTTCAGGTCTGACTCTTCCTGTAGTTTCCTTAGCTGCAGTTCACCTGCTAATTGTTCTGGTGTTGGCATTTCAGGTTCTTCTAATCTCTTTTAATTTCTTCTTGCCTTTTCTTCTGTTGGCTGTTCTTTTTCTTTTATTTTCTTGGCTATTTTTTTCTTTTCTGAAACTCGTTTTACTTCCGCTTCTTATTTTCTTTTCAACATCATCGTCCTCCCAGTTATCCTTGTCGTCGCTGTCCTCATCCTCGCCTTCCCAGCAGTCCCCACTGGCAGTGCCATCACCTCCCACCTTCCCCACCAGGTCTCCCATGGAGAAAAGGTCCAGACCTAGGAGTCCAAGTCCCCTGCCATCCCCTGTCATCACCGCCATCTCGAGCCTGGTATGAGCATGCGTGAGGTGACAGCTAGAGAGTGGTTAGCATGGCAGAGGTGAGTCGCTGGGTGCCAACTTTTTTTCTAAGTATGAAATTAATGTAAGGTTATCATAAAAATAATTGCAAAATTGGAAGGGCATGTAAAAGCACTTAGCCCTCTCAATCAGAAACAACTGATTTTAATTTTTTACTAGTGATTTCTTTTGGATCAAATTCATCGGAAAGTATAACACCAATATGTAGAAACAGATTAGACAACCAACAACAATGACCTTACATCCTGTGTGTAGAACCTTATAAAGAGGCACTTCAACAAGAGGTATGAGAGGCATACTTGTATTTTTGTTTGTTTGTTTGTTTGTTTTGAGTCTAAGTCTTACTCTGTCACCCAGGCTGGAGTACAGTGGCACACTCATGGCCACTGCAGCCTCGACCTGCTGGGCTCAGGTGATCCTTCCGTCTCAGTCTTGCAAGTAACTACATGGAACAACACAGTCATGCACCACCATGCTTGGCTAATTTATTTATTTATTTATCGTAGAGACACGGTCTCACCAAGTTGCCCAGGCTGGTTTTGAACCCCTGGGCTCAGTCAGTCCTCTCACCTCAGCCTCCCAAAGTGCTGGGATTACTGGCATGAGCCACTGCACCCAGCCCATAATTTGCATTTTAGAGAGAGCTCTGGAAGGCTTCAGGAAATCAAATTCCATCCAGGTTCAACCATTAAATCACTGTACAACATTGACTAAAATCACCTCATGCCTTAGCAATCAGTTTCCTCATCTATATAACTAAGAGGTTAGATTTGAATAACTTTAGATTTACTTCCACCTAGCATTGTTATTTTTTTTTTATTGATACAGCCCAATTTGCATTTGAATATACCCTATAATTGGGCAGGACATGGTGACTCATGCCTATTATCCCAGCACTTCAGGAGGCCCAAGCTGGAGCATAGCTTGAGTCCAGGAGTTTGAAACCAGCCTAGGCAACATAGCAAGACCTCATCTCTACAAAAATAAAATTAAAAAATAAAAAATAAATTAGCCAGGTATGATGGCACATGCTTGTAGGCCCAGCTACTAAGGAAGCTGAGGCAGAAGAATCACCTGAGACCACAAAGTTGAGGCTATGGTGTGCCACTGCACTCCAGCCTGGGCAACAGAGTAAGACCCTGACTCAAAAAGATATATATATATATATATATCCTGCAATTATGTTTTATTGTAATTATTTGTTTGTATCTGTGCTTTTCTATCAGATTAAATTAGTCTTCTTAATCCTTACATCTACCCCAACACATTGGATAGCATGTAATAGGTACACAATAAAGGAAGATGAGATGAAGAGAAGGGTGACTTTTTAAATTATTGAGAACAATTTTTACCCTATTGAAGAAGGACTCAAAGGCAAGAGCTTTTAGAAAATAAAACAGGTTTGGGGAACGGAGGCATGTAACAACACAAAGGGTACCTCGTCCTAAACCAAGGGAAGTGTGGACCAGTTGGATGCAAAACTTCACCTGCGCATAGATCACTCATGTACCTTATCCTTGTATCCCACATCTCTATAATAAGATTAAGCTATTTTTAAAAATAAAATAAGTAATTATAATTTTTTAAAAAATAAAACAGATTTACTTGCAAATTTTACTTGAGAGTCTAAACCTTCAAAGGATTGGCTCACCAAATTAAAAAAAAAAATACCACAAGCATTTAAAGAAAAATAATCAACCAAAGTTGCCAAGTTTACAATTAATATGTTCATAGTGGAAAATGAACAATTTTCTTTCTTTTTTTGAATCAAAGTCTCACTCTGTTGCCCAGGCTAGAGTGTGTTGCAGGGGCACACTCATGGCCACTACAGCCTCCACCTGCTGGGTTCAGATGATCCTTCAGCCTGAGCCAAGTAGCTGGAACTACAGGTATGCGCCACCATACCTGAAAGGACAGACCGAGAGTGAGAAGCCATTTTTCATCTTGTTCTTAAACCCTGACACAGTGATGAGAAAGTAGAAGCTATGCTTTTGGAGAAATGCACACTTTAGATATAATTAACTTTACTGACTTTATCTTTTCAGAAACAGACTTCCAGGTATCAGAGGTGTCTCATAGTGGCAATCAAGCTTGCCTAGAGTAAAGAGAATTTACAAGGCCTAAGACATCATGCATCGGGCAAGGACTATAAAAGTCATGAAACTTGTAATTACAAAAGTTATAACCGCTCAGAGAGAGAGCAGGTGGGGATTCGATCTTACAGTAAATTGGGCACTTTCTACAGGGAAGCCAAGGATCCTCCGAAGCTACCCACTGGGAATGCCCAGGAGATAAGGGGAGGCACACCCTCCATTAGGTCTAAGGAATGTCATTTGGGAAGGTACAGGAGAATCAGAATCCTTGTCATGCCCTTCTTTAGGGGCTATGATAATGTGGGTAGACATTAATGGCTCTCCGTGTCACAGGTTTTCCAAGGCATCCACAGGTGGTCGATAAGGAAGTCACAGTAGTTATGGCAGTCATGTGCAACATCTCCAAGAAAAGAATTTAAGCCAGGGGTCTGGGGGGCTATGCCGCCACACTCACCTAGAGTGTAGGCCCACTCCCTGTCTGTGGGGAGTGAAGCTTTCTTAAATAAATCTTCTCTTCTCTCACCTCTGTGTGTTGCAATTCCTTGCAATCTACTCGGATCTCTGGGTTGCCAGCGCGCACCTCCGGCTTGCCAGCTCCGGTGGTGCTGCACCTCTCCATTTTCCCTCACCCTGTCCAGTACCCTAACAATATCCAGCTAATTTTTTTGATTTATTATAGAGGTAAGGTATCACCAAGTTGCCCAGGCTGGTCTCAAACCCCTGGGCTCAGGCAATCTTCTCACCTCTGTCTCACAAAGTGCTGGGAATAATAGGCGTGAGTCACCATGCCCAACAACAATTTTCTTAAATAATTGTTATACCCACAGAAGTCATTATATATCTTTACACATCAGCATGACCAAGGGTCAAAAACAAAGTTGTTTTTGTTAGGAAGTCAGTAATTTATAGGCTGAAGTTTCATTTATTTTAGGGACTAGAGCTAGACAGGATGACCTTGTTTGTCTGGGGAGGAGAAGTGTTTATTTCTACACCCCAAGGAGATGGTGGTATAGTCCTTGTTCTTGCTGTGGCTGGTACTGCTACTGTTTTTGCCTTTGATCTTGACCGTGAAAGGTAACCTGCACATTTATTCATAATTTAACAAAGAAGGTGGCAGTTTCATTCCTATAGCCCTAAAAAAAAAAAAACTCATAAAATCAAAAAGGGTAAAAGGAGCCAGAACAAATGTACAGGCAGTTTCCCCCATACAGATAAATCAAGGCAGACTTTTAGTGAAGATAATTTCCTAGGTCATTCCAATTTCCTTTTCCTTAATGTGAAAATAGTTGAAAATATAGAGCTAAAGGGGAATTCTTCTGTCAAGTAAATAATTTTACTCTCTAATTCATTTGTTGCAAATCATAAATTAAATATCAAGGTATTCATGTTAGATATTCTGTGGAATAATGCTCAAGGCTGCCCCACTGAGAAGGGCATGAGGAAAACAGAGTGTGGGGGAGGAAATAGAAAGTTTGTCATTGCTGTAATAAAAATGTTTCCATATACTCACATACATTTCCACCTCCCCACATACCCAGAGTGGTCTGACATTTTATATTTATTGTATTTTATTATTTTATTTCTTGAAACAACTCTGAATGCTTACCCTGGACTAATTCTGTGTGTCCTCTAGAAATTAGATTTTTTTCTTTATTTGGTCAAACATTGTGGCCTAGAAGGGATGGTGAATTCAGGAGTTTATTTTTCTGAAAACTACCTGGAGGGATTGTGAAAGGAGCTTAAGTTCCTGTGGAACAAATGTTTGTTGAACCAAGGAATGGTTACTTTTAGAGACCATTACCATAGACCCATGTTTGTTCAGGATTGCAATAGCATGGAACACTTAGCTTAAAAGATATTTACACCTCTGTATTCAGTCACGAAGACTAATGTAAAAAAAAAAAAAAGTTTAGCTGAGAAATGTTGGTGGAGAAAATGAATATTGAGTAGAGTCATCAAGTTAGTTGACTCTGCAGTTTGGAGAGAAGCATGGCTTAATCAAGTAAAAGAACATTTCAAGCAGGGTGCATATCACATACCAAAGCCAGACAATAAAGTATAAACAAGTTTTACATGTATGGGAACACTGATACCAATAGTATTTAAATGTTGTCTTTGAGAATAACAAAAGAAAAGAACTTTATCTGTGTGGGAAACCAAAATATGCCATCCCAAAATACGGTTCATGTGTTATTTTGAGGTGGCTCTTCAAAAGGGCTGCAGACACAGAAAAAGCTATAAAAAGCCAGGGGTTTCAGGGGGCATATTTGCATCTGTAGAGAAAATCTACATTAGTGAAATAAGCAGCAAAGACTAATCGGCTTTCTTTGAGACCCCCTTGTTAAATTAAGTTTAGCCTAAAGCTGCCTCCTTACATATTTTTTAAATATATTTTTTATTTTAAAGATGTGGAGTACAATTCAGGGTTAGGTATACAAATGTTCACTATGCAGATACCCTTGTTGATGAGGTGTGCCCCCCTTCCCTGGCAGTTTTCAACTGCCAATCCTACCCCTCCTCCCCAACCTTCTTACATATTTTAAGTTTGGCCTAAAGTTTTATCCACACATAATGAACTGTGATCTAACTAGATGCATAAATAGACTGTAATCTACTCTTGTGCCAATCACCAGATTTTGGCCAAAATCGGCCAGATGTTCAAATCATGTTCAAATAAGGTAAATGCCGAGCTGAAACCAACTCATCTGTTACTGTACCTCACTTCTGTTTTCTGTATGTCACTTTCCTTTTTCTGTCTATAGATCATTGGCCGTGTAGCAGGGCTGGGAGCCTCTCTGAACCTATTCT